GTGTTATTTAATATATGATTGTTTGTTAAATTCTACTTTTCAATATTGTTTGCAAAATATAATTCTATTATGGTTTTTGTCTATTCTATTTTATTTATTTGAGCTACTCAAACTAGTTATAGCGGAAGATTGTTATATGTAAGTATTACGAAAAAGGAGAGTTGACAATATAAAAAATAAGAATAAGAACGTGAGATGTAAGTGAAAATTCAGGATAGGAAAAAATCACGTACAGGGGTTGTGAAAATTCGTTATATCAAAAATAAGTATAAGAGGCGTCGCTACTCCGAAGTCCGAATATATAATACAATGAAACCCAACATGTAATGTAGTCCTAATAGAACATGACTAACATTCATTTTTTTCCCCATAATTTTAGTTTTACTACAAATGTAGCACAGTGAATTTTTTGGACTAGGCCAAATCGTGCTTTAACAAATCTCCACATTGACACGAATTCCAGTGTAAGGAATAAATTTTCAATCTCCTATAACACATTCCATTGCCCCGTCAGCTATTGTCTTTGAGGTGCTAGGACACGCCAACACCTAGTCGACAATAACCTCTGAGGCTATATAACTCCATGTAGAATTGTCATCTCTCTCATTCTAGGCGATTAGAAACACCACATGGGCCTTCTAAGTCCGAGATGGTTGGGTTTGAGTCCTCATGTCTTGTGCAAGCTATAATCTAACACTTTGAGCCACATGTGATTTGATTGATGTAACATCTCAACAAAGGGTTGGAATTCGAATTAGTTCTTTTTTCCTAGGACATTGTGTGAGAGGTCACATGCCAATTATGGCCAGAATGTGACATATCTAAACTTGACTTGTGAGTTGTTGGGATGAAGCCACACGTTAAGCATTAAGGGAGCCTCACCTACTTTCATTTGCCTATAAATATGATTCTACTCTTGTAATCTTCTCATTTCGCGTTTCTCTATAACATAATTATCTATCAATTTATAGACTTGAGCATTGGAACACGTACAATTCGAACACTCCATCTTCGATTGGAGAAGCCTCTATCCACATCTTTAACGTATGTTTCCAAGTGTGTACATATTTATATTTGCTCACAACTTTGAAAACAAAAAAAGAAAGAAAAATGCAAAGTTGTCTTGAAAAACTCAAATGGTGTTATAAGGGAGGAGGAATGTTACGATAAAAGTTGGTAGTTATATGTAAGTTTCAAGTTCGTAAGGGATTTATGGTGATTTGAAGCACAGAGTGCTCCTTGGTGCATGCTAATTTATTATTAGAAGTTAAGCAAGGATGTAATAGAAAAACGTCAATCAATAATTTCTGCGAATGTAATGTTTGTATTTGAAAGTTGATTGATTCCTCGAAAACCAATATTGGAGGTTCAAGTTAATCTAAGGACGTGTTTGATTACATTTATTTTTCATGGAAAATGTCAGTTTTCCATCAAAATTCATATTTTGGAGTATTTAATAGTTATTTTTTTTTTCATTGAAAATATTTTCTCACTTTTGAAAATATGCCTAATTTTCCTTTTTTTTTAAGGAAAACATTTTATTTTCTAGGAGATATTTTCAATGACAATCAAACACACTCTAATATTTTTACTATTTTTTTCTATTTTATTTTTGTTCTTCAATGCAAACAATGCAGGTTCATATTAAATTCTCTCCTCAATAAGTTTATTAATTCTTGGACAAAACTCATTCGAGCCAATTAAAATGCTTAGGTTAATTCGGATTGATCCTCAATAAGTAAAACACCAAGTAAAAGCTGGTGTGCCAATAGTAAGAATGGCATACAAAACTAAGCAAGAATCAGTCTTCAAATCCCAAAGCGTGATCCCAATTGACTATGACCAGACAATGTGATCTACCATACAAAACATAAAAAACAGTAAATTTAAAAGTTATTTTCAAATAGATATCACGAGTCTCAAAGTTGGCGAGGCGATAAATTTTATATCGAATAACGTTCTAATACGGCACAGACCTGAATTTCCATTAAATTCATTTCCAAAAAAAAATGTTGCGGAAGGCTCGATTAAATGTCTAATTTTGAACTTTTATTGAATTTGAATTACATTAAAAGAATAAACTCAATTTGAATTCAAACTAACAATAAAAAAAATGCTTATAAAATTCCTTAATCTTCTAGAGTCATAATTCTTCAAACAATTCTATTCTAAACTCACGTGTTGCTGGCAACCCTAATGGCACATACACCTGTAGCGTCGCAAAAGTCGCGAAGGTTAATATTTCAAAGTTGTGGGCCAACAGCCCATACGCACGCAATAACTTTCCTCTAGAAAGCACACATTGGTCAGAAATATCCCAACCCTTGAAAAATGTGGAAAAATACAACGATGACTATTATGAGTTTCATTTACATTTCAATTCAAGTAAATTGGTATAAATCTTCGTTTATTTATTTATTTATGTTGAAGTCCATTTAATTTCAAATATCCTTTATCGATAACAAATTCAAATGCAAAGAGACCTCGGACTCATTAGATTCAGCTATTGAAAAGTAGAAAACTGCTTTTGAAATTAAAAAATTACTTATGATCACATTTAAGTAATTTTTAGAAATACTTTTACGGGTTAGAAGAGCTTCTAGAGAAAGTTGACATAATGTAAAAGCTCATCTAAAGAAAAGGAAGCAAACGTGAAAATCCTACCAAATGGACTCTTCACTTAAAATGTAGTGATGCACAATTAATGTAAAGAAACAAAGAGAGAAAGCAGACGGAAATAAATTATAGAGAAAATTTCAATTATACATATTCCACTAAGATTGAGAAACTAAAAAAAAAAAATTGGAAAAAAATGATTTTTTTATTTTCAATTTAAGGACTATTTAACTCTTTTAAAAATGAAATAACAAAGAAACTATTAAATATTTCAAAAATCTAAATTTCATCTTAAATGATCACATATTTTTAAAATTTCTAATTCCTATAGTCAAGTATTTGATATTGTGATATGGCCGTGTGGAGGTGGATGCCATCCAAACTTGTATTGTTTGGTGCATCACAAGCGTCCAAACCTTTGATTGATTAATTTAGGCCCCATGGACAAGAAAAAGAACTTCAATAATTGGCTAAGATATTAAGTCGTTGCTTGCCCCTATTATAAATGAGAATTTTAAAAAATATATTTTAAAATAGTAAATTTTTAAAGAATGTGTGGTTACAAAAAAAAAATCGAAAAGTTTTGGATTTACATGTAATATAGAAAATGTGTGCTGATAAGAAGAGAGAGAAAAATGAATTATAATTTTAATAGGGACCAAACACTGGCTAAATAAATATTTCGATCACTTATTGAGATATTGAATTAAATAGTAAAACTTACTCTTACGTCCATTTATCCAAGAAAAGTATTCCAAAGATTCTTTTTTCAATATGAGCCTATGTTTTGGTTTTATCACTACAAATTATAACATTTTAATTCATACTTAAAAAGTTACTAAACAGTTAATTATAAAGAAAATATGAAAGCATAATAATACAGCGTGCTACATTTTTTTTAGATATAGAATTGTAAGTTACTTTGATGTTGCTACACAAGCGTAAATAAACATCAATCATTCATCATGTATAGGGTGAGGGTTCACACCGACAACTCTCACATAACGGGGTGCGTTTTTTTTTTTTTTATTTATTATTACTTTCTTATTGATGTGGGTCCCGTGCAACGGCTTTATTTCAAATAAACATTGATTATACTGCTTAGCATTAGATTTGTTAGAATTCTACGGCCTTTCAATTCCCACTACATTTCAACCAAGGAATCTTGTTCACCTAGAGCGTAAGGACGTGGCTCGAGCTTTTTATAACTTCTTAGTTCCACGTGTCTTAATCGATCTCTCCCTTAAGTGTCCTGATCCTTCTCAAATTATACAGTAGAATATGCCGAAGTACAAGAACAATTTGTTTAATTTAATGTGATCCAACTCAATTGACATCAACGATGTTCAATTAATTAACGTGGAATTCACTATGTATACGCATGTAATTTTTAGATACAACAAGAAGTTTAAAATGCCTTCTAGCACATTTGACATTGTCAAAGTAACATAATCGCCCTAATTTCCTGTAATAGTGTTAGCGTACGTGGTCACGTCTTCTGTTTCTCATTGGAAGAAATTTGTGAACTAAACTAATTCTATAGCAGTTTACCATATATGAACTAGTATCCTGAAATGAGAAGGCAACTGCCACATGGTGCGAACCTCGTCTCCTTCACTGGGTTTTGACTTTTAGTCATTGCCGACGATAATATTGCAGAAGTAATACAAAATATTATGGATTTTGACTTTTAGTCATTGCCGACGATAATATTGCAGAAATAATACAAAATATTACGGAAAAAAAAATAAACACAGGCATCATTCAGAACAAGATTTCATTATATTATCATCAGCGTAATAGACAACTAAACTACTATAGCATTGAATAAAGAAATTCAGCTCAACTGAAAGGCCCACAAATTGTTCTTTTTTCTTCTTCTTTTTTCTTGTCATTTGTCTGTTTCTATAATTTCCAACCGTATATTGAAATATTCCCTCTTTCTTCCATTCTCTCTCTCTCTCTCTAGGATCTGTCAATGAAATCACAAATAAAGTAAAACCCAGCATTTTTATTTTCCGGACCACTGCCTCTCTTCCTGTCATATGAATGCTCTTTTGCTCCTTTTATAAATTCACTTTTGAATCGGAAATTATGGGATTGCTCATTTTTATTGTAAGTCACGAGACTTCGATGGTTTAACATCTCACTCATTCATCTTCTGTAAGTATGTTTCTCTTCACCACCCTTTTAACTAAGCATTAATTTCATAATATCACACACACATATATGCATGCATGTTTCTATGTCTCTGTGTGTATGTGAATTCATATGTTATTTATTAAAGAATGGAACAAATAGGTGAAACTTTGGGGTTCGAATTCCAGGCGAGAGTAGAAATAGAGAGAGGAGCAAGAAAAATAGTGGAGCTATTGAGAGAGAGAATGGACGGCTTTGATCGCGTGGTCAGAAGAAAGACTCTAGCTGAACGGCTAGGATTGAAGAATATTGGGTGTTGTGGGAGCACATGGGGCCTCCGGCCAACCACCTTAAGTGAACGTGATGACGATGAACAAGAGTATGCCCCACATGACCCACAAATTGAAGTAATAAGTGTAAACCACGCGCCTCCGGAAAATGAGTTGATCCCCGAGTGCATCAGTCGTTCTCCGGCAGCGTCAGGGATGAACTTGGCAGCAGCTTTGGCCGCGGAACGCCACCTCAGGGCAGCGCTAGATTCGGATAATGGAGGAATTGACCCATGCCCAAGCCCAGCAATGCCCAGTAACAATGAATGGTACGATGTAACTGCAGGAACCGCACCGCGGACCTCATTCAGAGTGTCGTTGATGAGACTACTGCAGGAAACGGATGGCTGGGATGGAGAGGTGAAGAAAGAGGAAACCGTCGAAGGTGGATGTGGTGATTCAGTGTGCTGCGTGTGCATGGGAAGGAAAAAAGATGCAGCATTCATACCATGTGGACACACTTTTTGCAGAGTTTGTTCAAGAGAGTTATGGTTGAATCGAGGAACTTGTCCCCTATGCAACCGTTTGATTCTCGAGATTCTTGATATTTACTGAGATCAACAAGATTGATTCTTGAGTTCGTGATAGATTTAAATCATACAATTGTTTTGAAATTTATGATAATGTGGAATTCACTCATACGAATTTTAAGTCCGACTTGATTGATTCTGTAACAGGAGAAATCTTTTGCAAATACAATAATTAGTTTTCCTCTTGTGATTATGATCGGATAATAAAATATTTTCTTTTATATTTTCGACTCATACTTTTTCGTAATCTCAATTTCTTGCCCATCTGCAATTTTGTGCATTGCTGTATTCATCGGACTCTCAATTGACAATATAAATAGATCTATCAGGTGTCATTTCATTAGAACCCCTGGCAGTGTAGCAAGGTTCATTTATTTTTCCAGAATTCTGCTTTGAATTTGAAATACACGATGCATCCATAGATTCTTAGAAGTAGTAGAAAGGCTGAATAGCACTAGTAATCCGAACCATTGAGCCTTGTGACGACGAACCTGTTATTTGCCGACGTTCTAACAGAGCCCACAACTCCTAGTGATTAAAGAAACAAGCCCTCCTTCGGTACAATTAGTCCAGTGTAAGACATGCGGATACGAGTGAGCTACCGAAGGACAGATCTAGCGACTGCTTTGCTAGTCAATTTCTAAAGAAACGCATATAACTAATAATATTTTTTTTTCAAGGATTGTTAGGACAAATACCACCCCCACAGACTATTTTGACCCTATTCTTACTAAAGAAAAAAGTTTCAAGGTGCAAGCACAAAAGGGCATAACATGTAAAATTTCCATACCCGACATGGTCATAATAAATTGCTTTCGTGCAGGTAGATAAACAAATCAAAGACCTGAGAGAGTAACTCTTTCATCGCGTTCAACTGAAGACAGCAGTAAATATCCTCTTCCTTGTGCCGTGAGCTGAAATTATCTGACCAAATCGGGCTTACATGCACCAATTTGAGAATTATAAGATAAAATGAAGATATTCAATTACAGAAATGAGAGCAGAACACTAACATACAAAGAAATACACGATCTCCACATGAAATTTACTGAATCATATAAACGCATAATGACAAAAACAAAAATAATGTCATCATTCAACTACAGTCTCATTTTCCAATGAGCAGGATAATCTTCTTTAACGTAATAACAAGGAAAAACAATGTCACATTCGAGCATCTAAAACATCAGTTTCTTAGATCGGTGAATCTTAGAAGGTTTTTCAAGTAATTCATGGAACCAACATGGATGTGTGAAAATATCAAAATTCAGCTTTTAAATTGAAAAGAGATCCAAACATAAGGGGCATAAGCAAGAAAATCAAGTCCTATCATTTAGCCACAAATAACATTAAAGAATGGCGTGGCTCAGCAATTTCTTATTCTCTTCTAAGAAAGATTTTCAGTTACATGTAACTGATGAACCAAACATAAATTTGGGTAAAAGTTCGAAGCGAAAAATTAGAATCAGCTTGAAACTCAGAGAGGTTACAGGGGTAGCCAATTTTCTTCCTCAAAGGCATGATAGAGCATTTATTCACAACTCAGTATTCTGCATATAGAATGCGCTTTTTCTCCAATCGAAACACGTGAAATTCTAAGGCATCGCCTAAAATCATATTACTCCCCCTGAAACGTGACAGACTACATTTTCACCATCTCCTTTATCAGTCACTTCCTATTCAGTTCCTCAATCTTTTTTCGATTCCCTTCTGCAGACTCATTGGAACAATGATTTTTCAGAACAGTTAAGACATCCACTTCGGAGGCCCCAGCAAGTTTAAATCGCTCAACTGCAGTATCCAGGTTTGTCTTCCAACCCGGCAAGCCCAATTTACATTCGACCTGAGATCTCTCGAAAAGCATGTTTCCCCAAAATAGATGGATTTGAGATCTCATAACTGCAGCTTGCTCCGCCGCTTCCTTGGCTGAAATTTCCCCTTGACCACCTATTGCTGAGGAATCACCTTCTGCGTCACTACCCTCCTTCTTCCTTCTCTTTAACAGTTCATCCTTCTTATTCATTTTAGGATCATTCAATTCTTTTGCTCTCTGCTCTTCCAGCTTTTCCCACATTTCAGTTGCTGCTTTCATTTTAATCTCTGCACTGTCAAAAAGTTCAATAGTCTCGGCGTGATCCCATTTTGACAAATCTTCTTTTTTGGCCAATACAAAGGACCAATGAAGTTTAGCCATTTCAAATTGTTGCTGCCCCAGTGCCAACAAACCTTCGTAAAAATCTGATTTAATCAAGACTGCCTCCTCATATTTCTCTCTGGCAAGAGAGTATTTTTCTCTTACCCAGTCATATGCAGTTTGAAGTTGCGTAGCCATCAATTCCTTTGAAGCTGATTCATCAATGGGAATCCGTTTCCTTGCTGCACACATATGAACATTTCCCCAATTGAGAAAAGCTAAAGCAGCCACCTCCTGAAACTTCAGAGCAGCCTTGTCGAAAAGGCTTTGGGCTTCTTCACTTGTTACTGTTGCCTCAAGGGCTTCAGAACATAGTTCCATCCCGAGCTCATGCAGATCTACATGAGCGTCATGATCAATGCCGACATGGCTACGGAAAAGCTGTGCAAACTCAAATAGCCAATCATCCATCTCCACCTCCTTGCATGCAAGGTCCTCTGGTTTTCCAGTTTCCTCCTTCAGAATTGTCTTTTCGGCCTTATCAATCTCAGCATCGACAGCTTCCAAAGCAGAGTCACCGGTTGAAGATTGTGATACACTCTCATCTCCTTTAGTTCCTTCACTCTCAAGAGGCTTCTCTTCATCTCCTTTAGTTCCTTCACTCTCAAGAGGCTTCTCTTCTTCCTCTTCCAACACAGGAGGCTCTTGCTCAGGGCTCACCTCAACAACATGCAATCTCAACATCCCAATGGAGTCTCTTTTATCAGTATCAAGGTCTTTGCGAATAAGGTTGTCAACACAGGACTCAGCAATTCTAAGTTCACTTGTACATGTTATCGTCACTAAGTCACCATCATTGTCCTTATATTTAATCAATACTGATTTCGACATAGGGAAACGTTTGCTAACTACATCCCTCAACACTCGAAAACTACAATTCACTGGCATTCGAGCGAGCCTTATGTCGTGATCGTATACAAGCTTCAGTGACCTCCATTGAGTCACAGCCGCAGCAGATAGCCCATGAATGTGAACTGACGATGATGAAGAACTCGACCGTTCCTTGTGGTTGTCCTTATTAGCATTTGTATTGGGTTTTGAAGAACTATTTGAAGGCTTCAAGACAACCTGCGGCAATTGGGCCTTCGTCTCAGGACCATACTCAGTAGGTGATATTGGATAAAGCTCTTCTGACTTACTACTAGTAGCTGGTACAGCAGTTGCCTGCTTCTTAGGCACAGGCCTGGCTGGCAAACATGGTCCAAGGCCAGCTATTGGTGCCCCAACAGCAGAGGCCCCAAGAGCCGCTGGTGAAGGGCGGCTCTGGAGATCCTGCTGGGCCTCTTGACGTGGGCCAAGTGCCATCCTCAATCGCCCTGCTATCTCTAAGGCATCTTGATTATTTGGATCAGAAACCAGTAGTGCTTGCACATCTAGCGTAGCCATCTCATACTTACCTATAGCCTCAAGTGCACGAGCCCTTCTTAGAAGGGCTCGAACAAACCGAGGCTGTACCTGAAGTGCCATAGTACACTCAGATATCACAGTATCATAATCTATGGGCTTCATTTGCATCAAACAAGCTGCCCTGTTACTATGGAATACTGCTCGATCTGGGTGCATTTTCGGAGTAAGTTTAAGGGCATTCTCATATTGCTGAAGAGCACCAATATAATCCTTAGCCTGAAACCTTTTGTTTCCCTCTTCTTTTAGCTCGTGGGCTCTTTTCAAGAAAATTGAGGAGTCCAAATTAACACCTCCATTAATAATAGGGGTGGGATTATTATCTATCCCAGATACCTTCTGGCTCTGATTAGCACCATTCTTCTTTTTCTTACCCCCAGATTTCCCCATATGGTTCTCAACTTCTCAAGATTCAAATTTTATTCTAACAAAAAAAATGAAAATTTAGAAATACTGAACTCAATTTGGACAAATTTTCAGTATAGAATAAAATCTTTCCTAAAATTCGGGAAACAGAACAAAGGAAGAAGAAGGTACTTACAACTATGAACTTAACGCCTTTTAGGAATAATTTGACATTTCTTGATTGAATTGTGAAAACCCGGAAAGCATATTTGGAAAAACACGATGAAGGGGAAGTGTCGTGAAAGATGGGGTTTTGGGAGGTGGTCTTTGAAACCCTAGATTGTAAAATCCATAATAATATTTATATAATGAATATCCCTCATCCCCGTTAGCGATGTGGGCCGTAAAATCTACCTTAAGCCTTGTATGATCCCATTATACCTAAAACATATTTTTCAGTCTTTCCTTCTTAATTACATATTCTTTAATAAAATAATATTATATGTAAATTTAAATTTTATTCTTATTTTTTAATCACACATTCTCCATCATTCTACTATTTCAAAATGCATTTTAACAAAAAAAATTGGGCTCAAATATGCGCTATATGAGGAAATTATACCCTTACCTATTTTTTAAAAATTAAATTAATTGTACACCCAACTAATTTGACACCATAAAAGGTGTTAAAATCGAGATCATTGATTTGAAAGTGTTGTTGAAATCAATGGTAAAATTGTGTGCCACGTTAAAGTGTGTAAAGAAAGATGTCAATCACGATGTAAGTGTAGCAAAACTATTTTTTTTTTTTACATCAATAACTAAATAACATAAAAATTTACAATTTTT